GGCGTTTGACAGTGAAGCCTAGGGCGTTTGACAGTGAAGCCTAGGGCGTTTGACAGTGAAGCCTAGGGCGTTTGACAGTGAAGCCTAGGGGGTTTGACAGTGAAGTCTAGGGCGTTTGTCAGTGAAGTCTAGGGGGTTTGACAGTGAAGTCTAGGGAGTTTGACCGTGAAGTTTCAGGCGTATGACAATGATGTCTAGGGCGTTTTCAGTGAAGTATAGAGCGTTTGACAGTAAAGTCTAGGGCGTGTTCAGTGAAGTCTAGGGCGTTTGACAGGGAAGTCTAGGGCGTTTGACAGTGAAGTCAGGGCGTTTGACAGTGAAGTCTAGGGCGGTTGACAGTGAAGTCTAGGGCGTTTGACACTGAAATCTAGGGCGTGTTCAGAGAAGTCTAGGGCGTTTGACAGTGAAGTCTTGGCGTTTGACAGTGAAGTCTAGGGTGTTTTACAGTGAAGTCTAGGGTGTTTGACAGCGAAGTCTAGGGCGTTTGACATTGAAATCTAGGGCGTTTGACAGGGAAGTCTAGGGCGTTTGACAGGGAAGTCTAGGGCGTTTGACAGTGAAGTTTAGGGCGTTTTCAGTGAAGTCTAGGGTGTTTGACAGTGAGGTCTAGGGCGTTTGACAGTGAAGTCTATGGCGTTTTCAGTGAAGTCTAGGGTGTTTGACAGTGAGGTCTAGGGCGTTTGACAGTGAAGTCTAAGGCGTTTGACAGTGAAGTCTAGGGCGTTGGACAGTGAAGTCTAGGGCGTTTGACAGAGAAGTCTAGGGCGTTTGACAGCGAAGTCTAGGGCGTTTGACAGTGAAGCCTAGGGCGTTTGACAGTGAAGCCTAGGGCGTTTGACAGTGAAGCCTAGGGTGTTTGACAGCGAAGTCTAGGGTGTTTGACAGTGAAGTCTAAGGCGTTTGACAATGATGTCTAGGGCGTTTTCAGCGAAGTATAGAGCGTTTGACAGTGAAGTCTAGGGCGTGTTCAATGAAGTCTAGGGCGTTTGACAGTGAAGTCAGGGCGTTTGACAGTGAAGTCTAGGGCATGTTCAGTGAAGTCTAGGGAGTTTGACAGAGAAGTCTAGGGCGTTTGACAGCGAAGTCTAGGGCGTTTTACAGTGAAGTCTAGCGCGGTTGACAGTGAAGTCTAGGGTGTCTGACAGTGAAGGCTAGGGTGTTTGACAGTGAAGTCTAGGGCGTTTTCAGTGAAGTCTAGGGCGTTTGACAGGGAAGTCTAGGGCGTTTGACAGTGAAGTTTAGGGCGTTTTCAGTGAAGTCTAGGGTGTTTGACAGTGAAGCCTAGGGCGTTTGACAGTGAAGCCTAGGGCGTTTGACAGTGAAGCCTAGGGGGTTTGACAGTGAAGTCTAGGGAGTTTGACCGTGAAGTTTCAGGCGTATGACAATGATGTCTAGGGCGTTTTCAGCGAAGTATAGAGCGTTTGACAGTGAAGTCTAGGGCGTGTTCAGTGAAGGCTATGGCGTTTGGCAGTGAAGTCTAGGGCGTGTTCAGTGAAGGCTATGGCGTTTGGCAGTGAAGTCTAGGGCGTGTTCAGTGAAGTCTAGGGCGTTTGACAGTGAGGTCTAGGGCGTTTGACAGTGAAGTCTAGTGCGCTTGACAATGAAGTCCAGGGCGTTTTATAATGAAGGCGTTTGACAGTGAAGTCTAGGGCGTTTTACAGTGAAGTGTAGCGCGTTTGACAGTGAAGTCTAGGGGGTCTGACAGTGAAGTCTAGGGCGTTTGACACTGAAGTCTAGGGCGTGTTCAGTGAAGTCTAGGGCGTTTGACAGTGAAGTCTAGGGCGTTTTACAGTGAAGTCTAGCGCGTTTGACAGTGAAGTCTAGGGTGTCTGACAGTGAAGTCTAGGGTGTTTGACAGTGAAGTCTAGGGCGTTTGTCAGTGAAGTCTAGGGCGTTTGACAGTTAAGTCTAGGGCGTTTGACAGTGAAGGCTAGGGCATGTTCAGTGAAGTCTAGGGCGTTTGACAGCGAAGTCTAGGGCGTTTTACAGTGAAGTCTAGGGTGTTTGACAGTGAGGTCTAGGGCGTTTGACAGTGAAGTCTTGGCGGTTGACAGTGAAGTCTAGGGTGTCTGGCAGTGAAGTCTAGGGTGTTTGACAGTGAAGTCTATGGCGTTTGACAATGAAGTCTAAGGCGTTTGACAGCGAAGTCTAGGGCGTTTTACAGTGAAGGCTAGCGCGTTTGACAGTGAAGTCTAGGGCGTTGGACAGTGAAGTCTAGGGCGTTTGACAGTGAAGTCTAGGGCGTTTGACAATGAAGTCCAGGGCGTTTGACAATGAAGTCTTTGCCTTTCAATGGTGCGTCAGTTCTCTGACAAAGATTTTAAATAATTGTAAGATTGTTTTATTTCGATGCAACTATTGGTGAAGTATTTATCGTCTGTATCAAATGTTATATATGTGTATGTGAAATAAGAGATACATGCGGGGGAGATCGCTAATATTATTAAATATAAAGGATTTAAACAATATATATAAAACAAAACTCCCTCATCGTACCTTTTTTTACAGTGTTCTATTTTTAATGTATGCAGTTGTACGTGTAATATTTAAATCATGGATCTTTGATTAAAAATGCATTAGCATGCACTTTGATGTGGTTATAATCAGACACGAGTGCCTAACCGTCGCGTAGTTTACAACAAGTGTCATGTCACAGGGGTAGTAGCATTGCCCACGGATATTGTCACAACGTTCACGGGGATAGACACAGTGCTCATGCGATCCGTCAATGTGCTCATCGGTTTGTTATTGTGTTCATAAGGATTTATCAATGTCCAAAAGGATTCTAACGATGTCCATTGAATTTGTTATTGTGTTGAAAAGAATAGAATTGTAGCAATGTTCATAAGGACTGTCGCATTGCTCATTGTGTTTATCACATCTTCCATTGTGATTGTCACATTGTTAATTGTGATTGTCACATTGTTCATTGTGATTATAAGATTGTTCATGGTGTTTGTCACATTATTTATGGTAATTGTCACATTGTTCATGCTGATTGTCACATTGTTCATACTGATTGTTACATCGTTCATTGTGATTGTCACATCGTACATGGTGATTGTCACATTGTTCATGGTGATTGTCACATTGTTCATTGCGATTATAAGATTGTTCATGGTGATTGTCACATCGTACATGGTGATTGTCACATTGTTCATGGTGATTGTCACATTGTTAATTGTGATTGTCACATTGGTTATTGCGATTATAAGATTGTTCATGGTGTTTGTCACATTATTTATTGTAATTGTCACATTGTTCATTGTGATTGTCACATTGTTCATGCTGATTGTCACATTGTTCATACTGATTGTTATATCGTTCATTGTAATTGTCACATCGTACATGGTGATTGTCACATTGTTCATGGTGATTGTCACATCGTACATGGTGATTGTCACATTGTTCATGGCGTTTGTCACATCGTTCATGTTGATTGTCACATTGTTCATGGTGATTGTCACATTGTTCATTGTGATTGTCACATCGTACATGGTGATTGTCATATTATTTATAGTGATTGTCACATTGTTCATGGTGATTGTCACATCGTTCATGGCGAATGTCATATTGTTCATGGTGATTGTCACATTGTTCATGATGATTGTCGCATTGTTCATGATGATTTTCACATCGTTCATGGTGATTGTTATATTATTTATGGTTCTTGTCACATTGTTCAAAAGACTTTTCTGAGCATTCATGGGAATATCACATGAGTTTAGATGATTGTTATGTTGTTCATATATATTGTGAGAATGGTTATTGATAGGTGTTCGTGAGGGGTAGCCCCAGTGCTCGTCGAGGGCTCATGGGAATCGTCACAGAGACACAAAAACACAAGAAAACAGGGAAAAAACAGAAACGACCGTATGAACCTGTTATATGTTTTCATGAAAACCATTGGACTTTACCTTTTCTACAAACTTAATCCTTTAAATATTAATGGTGAAGTTAATGTAGTAAATCCTTATCATGTATAAGAAAAGTCTGTTTAAATTTGAAAAAATAACGTGTCCTTTTCGCGTTGATGTTTAGTTACCATACGCATTTCACCATACGCCTTTCACCATACGCCTTTTGCCATACGCATTTCACCATACGCCTTTCACCATACGCCTTTCACCATACGCATTTCACCATACGCCTTTCACCATACGCCTTTCACCATACGTCTTTTACCATACGCCTTTTACCATACGCATTTCACCATACGCCTTTCACCATACGCCTTTCACCATACGCATTTCACCATACGCCTTTCACCATACGCCTTTCACCATACGCATTTCACCATACGCCTTTAACCATACGCCTTTTACCATACGCCTTTCACCATACGCATTTCACCATACGTCTTTTACCATACGCATGTCACCATACGTCTTTCACCATACGCTTTTTACCATACGCCTTTCACCATACGTCTTTTACCATACGCATTTCACCATACGCCTTTTACCATACGCCTTTCAACATACAAGACGGCCATGATTCGAGTCTAAGATCGGACGTGAAAAGGTAAGGCGTTCACCTGCCCGGGTACTTCAGTTTCCACCACTATTAATACCCCTTGCGCACTTCCATCCGGTCAGGCAAGAATGATGAATATCAGTTTATTACTAGTTTCATAATTGTTGTAAAATATTGCAAATGAAAATTATATGAGTAGCATATCTTTCTCATTACTAGAGCAACACCCTTGGCATCGTCATATGGAGTTTACGGTAGGTATATGTACATGTATGTACATGTATGCTAGTATTACTATAGTTACAGGGTATTCGGGTGGTACAGTGGATAGCGCACTTCCTTTCACCAAGGCGACCCCCC